GATCATGCGCCCGGGGCAGCCAGGATCATGCGCCCGGGGCAGCCAGGATCATGCGCCCAGGGAAACAGCTGTCTCCTCGCGGGCTCTGCGGAATAAAGCTTATACAGGAGAGCCTGCATCTAAAGCTTTATACTGCAGAGTCGGCAGTGCGTAACTGCCGAGATATTCATGGTTATCTAATTAACTGCTTTTTTGAATTCATCCTTTGCCCCAGGTGCACAGCACCCCCTAGCGGGGGCGAGGTGGCAGAGGGATCAATAGTACACACACACACCGTGGTCAGTGCCCCTCTGGAGAAAACTAGAGCGCTGGGACAAACACTTGGGTGGCTTTAAGACCGACCCGGATCTGTTTATTCATGAGGTATGACATTGCCCGCAATGGCATATCGCCAGCCTACGACTCTCCAATGGCCAGAGCCAGGCCGCTAGATGACTGCACGCCCGGGGCAGCCGCGCCAGGATCGCGCGCCCGGGGCAGAGAATGCTCTCCCAGCGGCTGGCGGGGCGGGTACCCCAGTGTTTCGAAACCAGTGGTACGAGTCCCTTTAGGGCAATGGTTCCCAAACTTTTCGGCATCACCGCCCCCTTTTTGATTTTTGAGAAACCCTCCCACTCACCCACCCCGCAGCAGAACTTGAGCGAAAAGAAAAAAGAAAAAAAAGAAAAGAAAAGAAAAGAAAAGAAAAGAAAAGAAAAGAAAAGAAAAGAAAAGAAAAGAAAAGAAAAGAAAAGAAAAGAAAAGAAAAGAAAAGAAAAGAAAAGAAAAGAAAAGAAAAGAAAAGAAAAGAAAAGAAAAGAAAAGAAAAGAAAAGAAAAGAAAAGAAAAGAAAAGAAAAGAAAAGAAAAGAAAAGAAAAGAAAAGAAAGTCACCACCGACATTTGGAGAAAACGGAATTCGGGTTTTCAGTTTGACAGCGCTTGATTCGTTTTGCCCTTTTTACACCCAAAAACGTCATCGCCCGCCCGGCGCCGATGACGTTGTTGCAACAAATGTGTTGCAATGGTGGGGGGGAAAAAAGTGTGTCCCCCCTGAAAACGTTTAGTTTTTTTTAAAGGGATACTTTATGGAGAAAGGTTGAGAAACACAGATTTAACCCACGTGCTCGGGAACTCCCAGAGGTCCCAAAAGTGGGGGGCACGTCCCTGTACTGGGGCACAGGGGGAACCTACAGGCCAGGCCAGCACAGAAGGACCGCTTCCCCCCCAACCCCTTCCTGCCCCCCAGATCTGTTCTGGACCCAGATCTCCTGTGTCCCTGGCCCCCCTGCTGTACTGGGACAGGGGGAACCTACAGGCCAGGCCAGCACAGAAGGACCGCTTCCCCCCCAACCCCTTCCTGCCCCCCAGATCTGTTCTGTGCCCAGATCTGCTGTGTCCCTGGCCCCCCTGGCCTTGGCAGCTCCGCTCCGAGCCCTGCCCAGGCCCGACCTGTGGGTCTGCCCCCCCCCCTGCGCCTGTGAGAGGGGGGGCTGGCTACGGCCA